AAAGAAAGAAAGAAAGAAAGAAAGAAAGAAAGAAAGAAAGAAAGAAAAATTGGATGATGTGTTAAGAAGGTGAGGACACCTGGGGAGATTTCTTTAAGCCGTGTTTTAGTTGGGATGATGGCTTCAAAATATTCAGAGTTCATGTGGCAAAAGGAGGGCACATCAACCCCAGAGTAAAAAGCCCTAGAAGGAACTAACTGGGCCTGGTATATTTGCATTACTCAAATCTCTCTTAAAGGGAAGTTTAAAGTCCTTCAGAGGGAATAGGAAAAGAATGTGTGGAGGTTAGAGTTTCTGAAGGCAGGAGATATAGCTGTAGCCAGAAGTCACTAAAAAAATTGGGGTATTTAGTAGTCAGAATGGGGTTTCCAGAGGCAGGAGAAGGGCTGTAGCTAGAAGTCACTAAAAATAATTGGGGTATTTAGTGGTCAGAGAAATTTCCACCCCTCCAAAAACAAACAAACAAATAAACCCAAACACCTATGTTTTATTTAAAGCAATGGCATAATTTTTTTTGTTAATTTTTATTTTCACTTCTAAATTTTCTCCCTATCTTCACCCCTTTCCCCACCCATTGAGAAGGCAAAAATACAATATCCATTTTACAGCCAAAGTCATGTAAAACATATTTTTACATCAGCCATGTTGCAAAAAAAGTAAGAAAAATAAAGTGAAAAATATTAAAGCAGCAGTATCTTAATTTTTTTTTAACCCATGCATCCTAAATAGGCATAGTGGATAAAGGACTAAGCTTGTAATCAGGGAGATCTGATGTGTGACCTTGGATGAACAGGAGGCTTCATTTCTCAGTGCCTCAGGCAGCTCTGAGCTTCAGTGGAAGCAGATTTTTATGGGGCCATTCCCTAAAAGCTATGAAATAGCTACCCCTCCCTTCCCCCCCAATCTAAAACAAGGGAAAGGGGCCAAAATTTCTGAAAACCTCTGTGCCTACTGTGTACAAAGCCCTGTGCTAGGGTAGAGGCAAAAATAAACAAAACACAGTCCCTACTCTCGATGAGTTCACAATCTAATAGGGCAAATAATCCATAAACATCTATAAATGAATAAATATTGAAAGAATTATGATTTTACTGATCTAGATCAGAGGCAGCTCTATACAAGCAAGATTAAAATGTAATTGGGAAATATTTAACAAGATAAATAAAAATACAGTAAAACATAGATAATGTTAATATATAGTTTTCTAAATCAATATATGTCCACAAGGATCTTGAAAGTGGCCTCCATTTCTATTTGATACCAGTGGTCTAGAGAAATTCTAGTGAAAAAATTCCCTTTACTACTGTAGGGCAGCAGCTGCTCAGCTATACAGTTTTAGAGAGGACTGGACAGGTTAAAGTGAAGCCTTTTTTTTTTCTTAGAAAAACTCTTTTTTTTAGGTAGCACCAAGAAAACATCTTCCTGAGTTAGAATCTGACTTCAGATTCATATTCTTCCTAGCTGTGTGACCCAAGTCACTTAACCCCGTTTGCCTCAGATCCTCATCTGTAAAACGAGTTGAAAAGGAAATGGCAAAACACTCCAGTATCTTTGCCAAGAAAACCCCAGACGGGGTCATGAAGAGTTGGATATGACCAAAAAAGACTTAACAACAACATTTTCACAAAATCGGCACAAAGAAATGATGCACTGGCACTTATGTCTCATTCTACAAACGATTCCCCAGGCCTCTTTGTCTTCAGTGACAGCCTTATACAGATGGTGGACTATGAATGGACACACAGACTTAGCCTCTTCTGCTGGAGCTCTCCTGCCCTGCACTGGCTACAGTAGGAGCCAGTCTTGCTTAGAACCAATAGAGACTGGATCCTTGTTATGGCTTTTGCTCATATCATTGGCTCAAATAATTTCCCTCCTTGAGGATACTGCATATGATTAATTTCTACCACCTCCTCCAGAACTACAGATAGAAAATAATCCTTCCTACTCTACATATAAACTGGGGGAGGCAATGTGGTATAATGGAAAGGGCTCAGTTTTAAGTGGAAAACCCAAGATTGAGTCTATACTCTGCTACTTATGCATTTCTAAGTCTCTATTTTCTCACCTGCAAAATGGGGATAATAATAGCTACATTATGTATGTCACTGGACTCTTGTAAAGGTCAAAGGATATTTTAAACAGTTTTGTCCATTCTAAAGCCTATACAAAATCAAGCTAAGCTAAAGTGAACTAACTTAACACCCACAATAAAGGGGGGGAAGCTCTGATGAGACTGAGGAAGATGTAAAGTTAAGCCAAGTAGTGATAGTGGGTAAATTAATTTACCTAAACCTGGAGTGTCAAAAGGCTTCATTGGGAGGAGAAATGGAGATGAGATTTCTGCATAATACAGAAGCTTTGCTGCCCAGAGCAGATAATTCAATGACTCATGAATATGTGGTGGAAAGATTTGGAGTTAGAAGAAACAGGTTCAAAATTCTACCTCTTGGACTTATTACTTGTGTAACCTTAGAAAAGTCACTTAGCTACTTTAGGCTTGTTTCCTCAACTTTAAAATAAGAGGGTTGGACCAGATGATCTTTAAGTTCGCTTTCAGCTCTAAATCTATGATATTGTGATCTTAAGTACTGACTTAATCCTAGTTATTGAAAAGAGCCTTGGACTTGAGGCAAGAGCTGACAACAACATTATTAAATTCTATATCCTGATAGGAGAGAGGAAACCAAAGGAATCAATTATTCAATATTGGAAAATGTAATTATGACAAAATGTAGACATTAAAGAACACCTAAAGGATAGTCTTGAATAATTACCCCACAGGGAAACTGTGTACTAAGGATCCTTTAAAAAGTCAAATGCAAAGAAAAGGGAAATCCACAAACCATAGCAGATATAAAATAAAAACGAGACAAGAAAGTTTGAGTTTCATTTTACAAAGGACTCCAAAAACCAAAGCAAACCAAAATTTTAAAAATGCATACATATATATCTTATATATGTGTATGTACACATAAGCTTATGTATGTAATATATGCCACATATACCCACTTATATAAAATACCCACACATCTATATCATGCACCAGTGATTCTCTATATAGAACCAAGGACCCCTTGATGATGGTGAAGCAAAGGACTTGTTTAAGGTTTAAAGGGAGAAGGTCAACAGGTTGAATGAATTCTTTGTCTTGGTTTTCACTGAGAAACTCTTTAAGTAGGAAAAGTCTTTTAAATTGTCTTCTGATAGCACTAGTTCAAGTAGTAACTACTGAGAATATTCAAATCAAATTTACAAAATAAGACCAGAGAGCATACACTTGAGGGTTCTAAAGGAAATGAAGGATGAAATTTGAAAATTATTCACCAAAAATGAATCATTTAGCAGATTACACATTAGAGCCCTTCTATGAGCAGGGTATTTCAAGTGCATTTAGTGAGTAGGAAATAGAATTATCAAAGCCTCAGACATAAAAATGAGCGTGATGTATATACGGAACTATAAGATCACCAGACTAAATGCCATTAACAGTTTAAGTTGCAGCAATGAAAGAGAAGGTTGGATAATTAAAGTGGAGCCCAAACAAACTATTATGTTCTTGAAAATCTGGTTCATTTTGTGGTTGCTCACTTAGGGGCTCAATGAGATAGGAGTGACAGTAGGTGGTCCTACAAAGAGCACTACACAGTTGAAAGAGCTGAGTTAAAGCCTTTTTTGCTACTTACTAGCTGTGAAAACTTGGGTCTCTCTGGGCCTCAGGTTTCATATCTACAAAATGGAATAATAATAATACCTAACCTAACTCACAATGTAGGTGTGAGGACTGAGATAATATGTTAAAATACTTTGGAAACTATAAAATGTAATATAAATGTAAAAGAGATCATAAAATTATTATTAATAAAACTTACAGTTCTCTGCCATTTCCTGACATTTTAAAGCCACCAAATGGAGCCTGTGCATAGATGGCATTGTAGCAGTTGATCCTATAGAAAGAATTTTTAAAATACAATTACATGGAGAACAGACATTGGTATTTAATAAAGTCCATCTATAATGTTTAACAACTTTTGATCTCTCTTCCCTTCTCACCCCTTTATGATAAGCTAAATATTTCAAGCATATGGCTTCCAGTTGGGGAGGATTCTAAATAATGTTGGAGGGGGTGAAGAGGGAAAGAAGGAGGAAAATGGAGAGAAAAAGGGAAAGTCTGAATTTCTCTTCTCTACCTGTAACACCTGAAGATGTAGTTTCATTATTTGCCATTCCATACATCATAACTAGATAGTGACCCTTTTTCCAGTGGGTGACGTTTTATTGTTACTCTTAAGGTAAATAAGGATTGTAGCCCTCATTTACTTCAATTAGTCAAAACAGATGGTTGATTAAATTAATCCAGGAACAGCTGAACTAACAAATGGTTACATCATTTCACATGTGTGTTCATAACGGGGATAGAAACTCTTAGAGTACATGTTTATGAACAAAAGAAAAGTGAGCCAGGGAAGAAAAAAGCAAATGAAACAGAGGGTTAAAAAGCAGGAGGAAAGGAAAAGTGAAAACAACAGTTGAACAGATAGAAATAACAACAAAAAAAGTTGTTTAAATCATCAGACTCCCATGAACTAGACAGGATTTTAAAAAAAACATGACACCTAGTGTTCATTTTTGTATTGCAGCCTATTCTGAGATCCTGCAGCTATTACTAGGCTTTTGAAAACTTTTAAAAGTTAGAAAGGAGTCTCTCCAGGCATTCCAAAGCCTGAGAGGAATAATATATACTGCATACTTACCAGACTGTACCAGACTCTAACGCAGAAGCCAGTTTCAATGCTTTATCAAGATTTTTTGTGAATACAGCTGCAGTGAGTCCATACTCAATACTATTTGCCCTTCTTATAACTTCTTCTATATTTTTGAACTTCATTATTGGCTGTACTGGTCCAAAGATCTACAGTGAAGTATAAGGATGACAGTAAGGGACAAATTCAGACTGCAATCCCATGACCTCAGAAAGAATTTCCTCACTTTAATGGTTTTGTCTCAAACATGCAAAATGATCACCAGTAACTTGGACTGTGGGACGAAATGGCCACAGCACTCAATTTGGAATCAATGGATCTGGATTCAAATCCTGACTGTCACTTACTACCTTTCCTTGGTAGCTTCAGATAATACTCGAAATTATAAAGTAAGAAGCTTCAAGGGCTTTTTTTTTTTTAAAGCAATTTGACTTTCTGGAAATCTAAGAAGAATAAAATTGAAATTTTTTAAAATGGTGAAGGTTAAAGTTGTTCTAATAGAATCCTTTTCTGAGCTTCTAAGCATGGAAAAGCTTGCAGAGAGCAACTACCAAGCATGCACTAACACTGAAGATGGTGGAACCTTTTATATAATATTGTTAAGGAACTGGGGTAGATACAATTCTATGATTATGCCCTGCAACCCACAGAGTGCCACATTTTTTACAAATGGAGGATCTTTAAAACAAGGAAAGGACTTCCTATTCTTAATAGGTTCTGGTAAGCACTGGAAGAGGCATGGCACATTTTTACCAAAATGGAGTGTGAGCAAAGGGAAAAAAAAAGAAAAAAGAAAAACAGTGCCATAAATCTAAAGTCGAGAATTTAAAAGGTGGCTTTTGAAGGAAACTCATTACTGGACTCAGTGTTCAAATCTATTTTTAGATCTAACATTATGTCTAGGCTGAGGAAATACTTTCCCAGGTTCCTTAGAAACTGCATGTCATAGGACAGTTAAAAAGTTGAGTTGTATGCCATCAGTGTACAGTAAGTAACCCATAAAAATCTCAGGACTAAAGTCTATAAAATTTCACTGCCAGAAAGCCTTTGGCAGTAATTTACTCTTATATGTTTCCCAATGGACACATTAAAAAAAGGCAAAACATCCTGGGGTCTAATCATATGGGGCCAGATTCTCATCCTACATAAGCTCTATAGGAATTGTTACAAGAATGCAAACCTGGCCCATGGTAACCAGATGCCATCTTGTTTGATATTAGAAAGACAGTGTTAGATTTACATCTTTGTGGGGTTCTTTTGCCTTTCTATCATTTCAAAATAACGACCAGAAGGGAAAACTTCAATAAGAATTTTACAAGGGATGCATTCATTGAATAAACATTCCTCACAGGAATTTGGTTGGGGAGAACAGAAAGTGGTACTGAGTGCTGGCTGGTTCCAGGGATCTTGGGTTGTCAAAATCTCAACTCAACCACCTATGCTTTATTGTCAGGATCACTTCCATCATGTAAGTCACAGGAAAGTTCCCAGGACTTAACTGTTTTCTAATTGTAGGGGCTTTTGTTTAACAGGTAGAGCTTTCATTTTAAGAAATATGTTAATATCAACTTTCTGCACTGATATTTATTTAAAAAGCCAATGAAACTTAAAATAGAATTTTCCTTGATATGGAATCAAAGCACTATACTATATTGATAAATGGGTGAAAATCAATAGAGGGTGAATGGCAAACCAAGTACTTTACAAAAGAATCAACTGACCATTTTAAAGAAAAAAAATTTTTTTTGGGCAAAGAATGTATATTTCCTTTCCTTTGAATTTATTCTGATTAATTTTCAGAAGTGGAAGAAGGAAGAAGAAGGCTCACCTATGGCCCCAGCCTTCCTCTTGGCTATACAGACCTGAATTTTTTTAGAGGTACTAGTATTTTAAAAAATGGACTATAAAGATCAAAAGATTTAGATTCTGGCCATGAACAAGGGAAAAGTAATTTGATTTTCCACAAAAACTAAACCTTACAGGTTCTAAAATTACACAAAGGAAGTTTTAACTCTAACTAAATGTTTTCCTTTGGAAACAACAAAAAAGTAAAAAAAAAAAACTAGAATATGGGGTGGAGGTGGGGGGAAATTTTAACCTCCTCATCTAATTCTCCTTCTTTCTATCCTAACCAGAAGTAATATCACTTCTATGTGGAGTTTAACTGCTGAAAAGTTTAAATGGCAGAGAAAGTGATTTATGCACTGTTTGAGATTGTTGAATTAATAACACCTTCATATAGTCTACTTTCTCCTTTTTTTCTGAGATATTTAGAAAAACATCCCTTGGGAAACACAAATCTGTCAAAAGTCAATAAAATATGATGGCCCCAAACTGAGGTGTCAATGTGGTATAGTAGGACTGGCTTTGGAATAAGAGGATTTAAGATTAAAAGCTAGCTCTGTTACTTACTAGCTGTGTGACCTTGGCCAAGTCACTCTCTCTCTAGATCTCATCTATAAAATGAAAAGTTTGGACTACATGAACTTGAAGTCCCCTTCTAGTGCAAAATCATGATACTTCTGAAGTATTTTTTTTTAAGATGACAGGAAGAAGTGCTATCAAAATTTACTTCTACTAAGAGGAAGCAAAAAGTTATCCCTGAGGCCCTTTGGACTCAAGGGACATGTCTCCAAGGTCCATGCAATTTGATAGGCCCAAACCTCCAAGTCCACTGAGCCACTAGTACACTTTCTGTTTCCCTATTAACGTTCATGATAACCCACCTCTTCTTTGGCAATCCGCATGTTGTCTGTAACTTCTGAAAACACTGTAGGTTTTATGAATAGCCCCCTATCTTCCATGGCTGAGCCCCCATATTCCAATTTAGCACCTTCTTTCTTTCCACTCTCTATCAGGTCCAGAATTTTGTCAAACTGTTTTTGATCAATCTATAAAATACAGAGAAGAGGTCATTAGGATAGAATCCAGGCTTCACTCAAGACCAGCATGGATCTAATGGTCTTGGTACTGTTCAGACCTTCAAAATGAGCCATTATCATGCCTCTAAACATTTCTTCCATGGCAAGGATATTACACTTATGCAAAGTAAGAAATTTAATCATTTGCTAATTATCTTAGCAAGGATTTATTGAGTATCTACTATAGGCACAGCACTGTGTTAGACGTGGGAGTAGGAAAATGAACACAAAGAAATAGACTACCCTCTACCCTCCAGGCAATTTTTATTCATAGGATTTGGAGTTAGAAGGGTTCTTAGATGTGCTCAAATTCAACCCCATAGCTTGTGATCTACTTATAAATTTGAGTCCCTTACTCAAGATTATTCAGTGTAACCATGCTAGAAACGGAATCAGAACTCATGATACTCTCAGATATGGGTGCTGGCTGCCTGGCTACATGGCTGTCCTGTTTTCTAAGTAACGGTTTTGGTCTTTGCAGGTCATGCTTCGCATCCCAGCTGACCAACTACCCTGATTTTATCCTTGTTATTCGCCTTGCTACTGGGCTTCCCAACAGCACAAACATACATAGCCCGTTTTGTGTGTGTGTGTGTGTGTGTGTGTGTGTGTGTGTGTGTGTGTGTGT